CCCTCCCAAACCAGCCGCTCCCAAAGTTCAATCAAAGATGCACCTTTCAATATGATCAAAATGCAGTTTAAAGCTTATGGTCAAAGCTAACAATTTTCTTGCCTTTCATGATTTATGATGGGGAACAACACAACAAAAACTATTTGGGTTTTTTTTGTTTTCGTTTTTGTGTTGTTTTTTGTCTCTGGCGTAAAAAGTACCCAAACAGACTTAAATGGACTGCTTGTGACACCGACGCCAGAGTAGTAGAGGTAGCCATAGCTGTGATAGAGAGTAGAAGGCAATAATAAGTCAAGTAGGTCTGCTGGTGTTCTGTGCATGTAGTGTTGTGTAGCCCTGTACAGAGGGGCGACGTTAGGTGAGGGCATAGGGAGCGACTTGAGTTTGGAAAAAGAGAAAACGAGGGATAAATAAATGCTAGGATCGGGTTTAAAACGGATTGTTGTTTCGGGTTGTTTGTTTGTTTAGTTGTTTGTTTTTTTGTTGTCTGTTTGTTTGTTTGTTTGACTGATTGTTTGTGCGTGCGTGCTTACGCGCTTTTGTGTTAGTGTATGTGTGTGTATGTTTGTGTGTGTATGTGTGGGTATGTGTGTGTTCAGGGGTTGGAGCAAGGCGGGGGTAGTGGGGCATGCCCACTTGCCTCGCAGCAGCCGGCCATCCTCCGTATTTACCGAACATCTGTATAACAAAACTGTGAGGATACAAAGTGTCATGTTCCTAAACAAACACATTCACAACAATACTGTTTCTAAATTCTTTGTTTTAGTAAGCTTTTTACAGCACTTGCATCACAATAACGTCATAAAGGTGCCGCAGATAGAGGGGTTACAAGAGAGTAATAAACCAAACAAAAAAAAAGGAGGTGAGATAAGGACGATAGATGTTTGATAGGAAAGAAGGACCAAACCACACCAGAGCACCTGCCAACCACCGGCTACAAGAGAGTAACAAACACAAAAAAACAGGAGAGATCAGGACGACAGAATGTTTGATAAGAAAGATTATTCTTTTACGGAGTTAACCCCACCAGAGCATCCGTCAACGACCAACGTGTGGTCACTTTACCATCATAATATAAAATTGTGTATCGTATAATTCATCATTACTTTCGTTCTAGTGAGAACGTATGCGAGCGAACAAGTCATGTTCCTGAACTGAACAAACACTTTCAAACCACTGACGTTTCTAAGTTCTGAGTGGTAGCCAGCAAGGTCAGTGTGGGGGCGTGCCCATGCGAGTGGCGTAGCCTACGGTACTCGTTATTTCCGACACAGCTTCAGATCCGGGATCTTGGGGAAAGCCCACATCCCACTGTTGCTGGCATGTTCTGTTTGCTGAGTCTCTCTCTCTCTCTCTCTCTCTCTCTCTCTCTCTCTCTCT